GTAGCATCATCTCCATTCTTAGATGACTCAGAATGTCTACTCGCTACCTCCTCGAAGTCGCTGGTCTCGGCATCATCATCACTCAAAATGGGCTCCGAGTACTACTCCGGCCTTGGGTATCCTTATCTCTGCCACGACTACGGCGCATATCTTGGCCGCGTACTGGGGCCTGTCTCTCTCTCCTCCCTGCTGCTGGAGGAGGTACTGCCGGTGCTAGTGCTGATGCTGCCATTGGTGTAGATGGAATCTGAAAAAACAGTTATCAACATATTAGCTATAGTATATGTATCAAATACAAGCACAGTATACAAAATGGGTGTCAAGAAGAAACCAGATACAATATGAGTACAGTGTGCCAATGCAATGAATTAGTGTAGTTTGGGAAAGACTACAATGAAAGTGTAAATGTATCAGTGGGAATATGATAGTGTGGTACACAACAGATTTAGTAGTAAAATGCATGCTAAATGGAGGAAATCCTGAATACCGTGGAGACCAAGTAGCGTCTCTCTCCTCTATACCATGCCGATCAGAGAAGCAACTAGCTTGAAGAGGCTTTCTGTATACTCCGTAGATGCTTGCACGTGCGTTTGGATGATCAAATTCCAAAATAATCAATATTTGAAATGGAAAATGTGGGGTGCAAAATGTAAAGTGTAGTCCATATCTGAGGTGCGCATCGAGCTCTGACATACTCGTGTCCTGCCTCTGCCGGCTTGATCAGAATCTGGTAGGCTGTCCCAGTCGGCGGTCAACACGTAAGCATAGTGGGAATCTCCGGCCAACCGATCATCTGCCCAACTGAAGGGGTCTCTCTTGCATTGGCCCTAGTCGTCTAAGTCACCTTACCAGCCACAGGAGCTCCTGCTGCCTTGCATGCGCAAATGCCCGTCAGAGGGGGCATGAGATGAGTCTAGATGAATGTCGGGTAGTCGCCCTTCACTCTAAAGAAGTCAGCGTCTAGGCCCACTATGAACTGGATGATCGCCCTAATAGGCAGGCTATTTGCTATCCTCATAAAAGCTGGGGGTGGCATGGGAATGACCGGATCAGGCAAGCCTACGATCGGTCGTACAAATCGCTCACTCAGAAAACAAGCTCGCAGACTGGGCCCTCCAACGAAATCCGGAAGTGAGATGTTTCCAGAGCCCCAGCGTACTGGTCTCTCACACCAGCCGGCATCATCGTCCAGGACTGCCATGTGATCTGCAAACAGAGAATGTACAAAATTATTAGTTGCTGAAGTATGAATCAGAACAGTAGTAAGGTAAAAATGACTGTGAGTTTTGAATTACCTCGTCAGCAGCCACTGTATCGAAGTATCGATGGAAGAAAGCGAAGGTCGTATTATCATGGCTTCGACGCTGGCACTGGCTGTCGTCCCATCGTGAGTATGGCACTACCAAGAGAACCTCATCTGTAGGCTCTAAAGCTAGAGCTGGGAAGTAAGCATAAACCCATAGCTGCAAGGAAAGGGCAACAGTGTTATCAACAATGTATGAACAGATATGAAGCAAAAAGTGCAAAGAAGAAAGCACAATGCATGAACAGATTTGAGGCAGAAAGTGCAAAGTAAAAAGCACAATACATGAACAGATACAGAAAGTGCAAAGCAAAAAGCACAAGTTGTGAATAGATATGAAGCAGAAAGCGTAAGTGCAAAAGCAGAAAGGTGTGGTGTATACCTCCTAGTCTCTCCAATAGCCTCCAACTCGCTCTCCCCTCATCCGGAAAGTGGAGCTCATGTAGTTGTAGAGGGTGGCAAGGCCAGTTCTGCCCCAATCATAGAATCGCACCCGGGGCTGTGTCACTAAGGTGTTCAGTACATATAAGCCTACGATGTTCCACCCGTTCAAAAACAAGGTGGTACCGAGGAGAAACATCAAGAAGCCTCGGGCATACTGCTCCATCTCCTCTGGTGTCTCCGGTTCGCTCCTGCGAAACTACTCGGCGAACCAACTGTATCTTACTATGGCTGGCCGGTATAAAGGTGGGTGCTCTCCGAGCAGGTGAAACCATGATGCCTCCTACTCGCCCATGTCCATGTTGAAGGGGATCGGATCACCCCTTACTCTTAAGCCTGTGAGTATGGCGAAGTCGTAGGGAGTCATCGTCATCTCCTCGGCGAAAAAAAGGTGGAAAGAGTTAGTGCTGTCCCACTACCTCTCCACCAATGCCCTAAGAAGAGTCCGGCTCGCTATGTGCCATGAGAGCCTGGAGCAAAATAGGCAGGAGCTGGCCTCGTCAATAATGTCGCGGACCCTGGCAGGGAGCTCATAGTACCAACCCCTCACTGTCATCGCCCCGTACCCCCTGTAAGCACAGGAGTCCCCCTGTGGCAGAAAGACAGTGATAACAGAGCATTTACATAAAAGGCAATGCAAGAAAAAAGGTTAAAGGAAAGGCTATGCATGAAAATAGAGTTCATACCTTGCTAGCGTTGGAGGAAAGGTGGGAGTCAGGCTTCCTTAGTAAAAGGTCCTCTGGCACGTCACAAGAAAAATCATTGAAACGCTTGATGCCTCTAGGTGGTAATATATATGTGCGAAGGTGATACGTCATCGGATCAAAGGGTCGCACCCTCAGTGGTAATGGCTCTAGCTCGAGCTCTGGAGCAAACTCTATCTCAAGATCAGCTGCGATGCTCTTTATCGTCTCACCGCTTCGGCAATCACTAGCTCCTCAAACTCGGCAGGGGGTGATAATAGAAGTGAAACCTCAGGAGGATCACCGTCATGGGGAATGTAACGGCCCAAAACGCATGTCACAATTATCCTTAATTAATTATGCGATAATATGAATTAATTGGAGAATATTTGTTTGAATTGGAAAAAAAAATATCTGTCGGGACTACAACTTCGGGACTAAAATTGACGACCATAATGGGTTCGGAAAACAAAATTGAACACGCCTATGTGTTACTGGAATTTTTAGAGCCATTTGGGAAATTTAATTGAGAACTGATTTTCGTCTGATTCGTTAAGCCATGTTTGGCTCAATTTTTAAGCACAAATATAAAACTAAAGATATGGACCATTGTTGACTCAATACAAAAGGGAAAAAAAAATCTGGGAAAGAGAGAGAGTTCTAGAGAAAAGAAGAGATCAAGAGAAAGGAAGGGAGGAAGAAAGGGTTTGGGCCAAATCTTCTCCAATTAGTTACCTAAGGTAAGAATCTACTTCTAATTTCTTGAAATAGGGTTGATTTACCCATGATCTCATGGTAAGTAAATTGAATTAAGAGAAAATTATGTCTAATTGAGAATATTGTGATGTATTTTAACCTAGGAAGCATATATGAGCATACATGGCATAAGATTATGAAATTCATGTTGATAATCATGTTTTCCTTGCATGATTGACATATTGGGGAGGAAACTCCATGGATTTGAGAAATGAAGCTTTTATGTGCATGTTTATGATTTTTCTTCTTAATTCAAGGTTTAAATCTTTACATGAAACATTTGGATTTTATTTGGAAGTTATGATGTTTAATTTAAGTTGTTTTCAAGTGTTTTGGGCCTTGATTTTCATGAATTTGAGGTTGATTTTGCAAAAGAGAAGGTTCCCTTTCAAAGCAGAAATTCGGACTGGTTTTTCACCCAGACTGCTCGAGCGGCTTGGGCCACCGCTCGAGCAGCCAAATAGTGTTTTGGCTACTGCAGTTCCACTGCTCATGCGGCCTGGGCCACCGCACGAGCGGCCAAGCCACCGCACATGTGGCCAAACAGTGCACATTTTCCAATTTTGTTTTTGTCTCATTTTATGACTTCCGGGCCTTCATTTACTTGATTTTCACATGTCATTTGCATCCATTAGCATCTCATAAGCATGAAACAAAGTAAAGAAAGAATAGAATGGCATTAACTAATTGATTCGATGGCAAAATGTGTTAAGGAATTGTGTTATAATGTTGGTATTTGCAGGTCAAAACTCGAAGACTGTGCAACCGGTTTTGGAAGCCCATTGTGAGTAACATTTCTGTAAAGTTATGTTGATAAAAATTATGTTTTAACTATTATTGATACGCTATGTTTCCTCAAAGTGCTATCTTGATTCTGTGAACGAATATCCTATTTGCGAAACTAGTATGGCATCTACGGATAGTCCCAAGTCATGGGGGATGGCACATTAATGCGGGTCCATGACATACACGTGATACGAGATCTCGTTAGCCACTTCATTGTGGTGATATGTGTTAATCGGTAACCGGAACCGATTCTCTAGTCGGAAGACGATATATGTTGTATCTTGTGAGATATACCATTATGTTATGTTCTGATATGAATGTTTATGAATGATTTATTTTATGAATACCTTATATGTGGAATTCGTTCACTACCCTTTTACTTTAATGTTATTCACTGGGCTTTAGCTCACTGTTTGTATATATATGTATTATAGGTGAGCGTTCTGGGAGTCAAGCCTAGGCGGAGTCTTGAACCGAGCTGCCGTTTTGGAAGCCTACCAGGTGTTTTGTGTGCCTCCGAGCTGGGGCTAGGCCTGGAAGGTCGTCTGCAAGCTTTGTTTTTGTTGTACACTTGTAGCACGTGCCTATGTTTTGTGTTTGTTATTTCGTTATATGTTATGTAATGTAAGTGGCTAAATTAACATTTTTGGCATGTAAATATTTGTTCATATATATCCATAGCTCTTTGGACTTATCGTATTTTGTCTTTGCTTCCGCTAGCCTCGATTATTTACATTTTGTACAGGAAGGCCTGTGGTAATCTTGGATTACTGGCCGGTTACGATGCCAAACTTTTAGGGGCGGGTTTGGGTCGTGACAGAATGGTATCAGAGCACGAGTTAATTTACCCACACACGTGTCCATATGAGCTGTAAGGTGTCCTAGAAAAGAAATAGGACATGGCATAAATATGTGTGCATGTGTGTGTGTGTTTTTGAAATATAAGCAACAAGAATTGTAAATGATGAGACAATAGAGGAGACACTATGTTGAGAATAAAATGCTCTATCTGCTATGGGTTCTATAGACCAATGGAGAATACCAATGCAAGGAATGTAGATGAGTCAGAATCTTCTAATGCCAGAATAGATCGGTTAGAAAGAATGGTGGAAGCTTTAACTGGGTTGGTGAGACAACAATAAGAGCAAATCCAACAACAACAGAGACAACCATTCCCGCCTCCTCCTCCGCCACCTGTTCAAATGGAACCGATCAATAATGATGATATTATCACTCTTACGCAGAAATACAAGAAACTGAAACCACCAGAATTCGCTGGGGGTATTGAACCATTAAAAGCGGAGGCATGGGTACTTGAAACTGAAAAGATCTTTGAAGTGTTTCCGTGTATTGATGCGTATAAAGTTTTGTTAGCAACATTTACTTTGAAAGAAGAAGCTAGAAGATGGTGGATGCTCGTTCGAGATGAGAATAGGGATTTGACATGGGATCGATTCAAAGAAATGTTTTATGAAAAATACTTCCTACAATGCATGCGAGATAGGAAGGTATCTGAATTTGAACAGTTGAAGCAAGGTACAATGTCGGTAGCGGAGTATGAGGCTAAATTTACTGAATTAGCCCGTTATGCTCCTCATATGGTTGATACAGATTACAAGAAGGCAAGGAAATTTGAGGGTGGCTTACATGTCGAGGTGCTTGACCGGGTGAATGTTTTGAAATTGGAAAAGTATGTCGATGTACTTGACAGAGCCTTGATGTCTGAAGCAAATATTGCTACCTTGAAAATGTCCAAGTCAACAATAACGACTGAAGGAGAAAGTAAGAAATTCAAGAAACAGAAAGTGGAAATGGTTAGTGAATCAATGACCTCCGTGAATGAGAATTTGAACTCAAGTATTGGTGATAATACAAAGAGGGGAAGTAGTGGAAGTGTTGGTATACCCACTTGTAGGGAATGTGGGAAGCAGCATTGGGGCATTTGCCGTCGCGTATCTGGAGCTTGTTTCAAATGTGGACAGAAGGGACACTTGGCCAAATCTTGTCCACAAGCCTATCCAAGCAATGAGAGACCTGTTACTAGTGGGGTTAAATCAACAATGACACCGAGAACAGCCAGAACGTCTACTTCCGAAAGGAACACCTTGAGGCAAGGAAGGGTTTACACCCTAGTTTCAGAAAAGATGCAGAATATTGGAACAGCGAATGCAGGTATGATTTTCCTATCTATTGTTATGTTGGTAATGTTACCTATGCGATGGAAATTATTGAATATGTGACTGTGACAAAACAAACTAAAGTAATAAATAGTTTTCATACTTACACCGTGTCAGAACAATGGAATATGAGTTATTAAGCTTGACAACTTGAACTATGATCTCCGAAACCAAATGTATCCTAGACTTTTGATTTGAACCGATTTTGGTGGAAGCATATGACTGACTGTTGAAGTACCGGACTATGTTGCTAAGGAAATGACAGATTAAGGCCGTATTTGACCACTTGGAAACATATGAATCATATTATTAATTGAACTCGTGGACATTACTTTTGCTATTAATTGTAAGGAATGGTTACATTTATGTTACTACCTTTGCATTGAACGCTATGAACTTGTTAATAGTAGACTTCGGGTTGAAACCTCAACTACTGGGTGATATGTTACTTGTGTACATTCTTTGATTGACTACATCGGTCTTACTGGATTTTGGGGAAATGTTATTCATTATGTATTTGACTGCTATGATATTGCCTTCACTGCTACGAGATGGATACAAGAACTACTTTGTCATGCTAAATGACTGAATAGAACCGTCGAGTTGTTTTCTTTGTATGATGCTACTCCGTGAACTACTGAATGGCTGCAGAATGAATAATAATATGTGACCAAGATTTCCAACTGAGATTGTGCCAAGATAAGCTAAGTTTGGAGGACCAAACTTCCTAAGGTGGGGAGAATGTAACGGCCCAAAACGCATGTCACAATTATCTTTAATTAATTATGCGATAATATGAATTAATTGGAGAATATTTGTTTGAATTGGAAAAACATTTGTGGCTGGCAGGCCACTAATAGTGGTCGGCAACCCCTCTTTCTGGCTTGCCGTCCACTTGTGTGCTGAAAGCAGTGTTGGCAGCCTAGTTTTGTCTTGATCTTTATGTTTTGAGGTCTTATTTTGAGCCTTTTGGTTATAGTAAGTGTGTATATCTGTGTTGAAGCTGTTTTTGTTTTGCTTATCGAGTTATATTTTGTATTTTGGTCTTTGGTTGTCTTATTACCCGATTAAGAGCATTGTGCCAATGCAAGTTTTTATTTTCAAATTCAATTCCATGTCCATTTCATGCAAATATGGTGCTCATGATGCAAAAATAATAACACTTTTTATAAAAATTACGAAGTTTTATTGCGATCGTGGCTTTTTACAAAGAGGAGTACAAGTTTCAAGAGCAAAAGTAAAACCTATCTGAAGTTGTACATGTGCTAAGCTACCAAACAAAAAGAAACTAAGCAAAAATTACAAAAATCAGCGCCAGTCATCTCAAGCTCGAGAAGCCTTCTTCGTCCTCTTCCTCAGAGGGAACTCGAGGGCACTCTCTCTATCGGCACTGTTGTCAGAATCAAAATCAGACTCTAAACCAGAGCCGGTATCATCTTCACTCTCTACCTCAAAGCCCACCTTGGCATCATCTCCGCTCCCAGACCCCGAGCCAGTATCATCATCTCCGTTCTCAGATGACTCAGAATGTCTACTCGCTACCTCCTCGAAGTCGCTGGTCTCGGCATCATCATCACTCAAAATGGGCTTTGAGGACTACTTCGGCCTTGGGTACCCCTATCTCTGCCTCGACTACGGCGCATATCTTGGCTGTGTACTGGGGCCTGTCTCTCTCTCCTCCCTGCTGCTGGAGGAGGTACTCCCGGTGCTAGTGCTGATGTTGCCATTGGTGTAGATGGAATCTGAAAAAATAGTTATCAACATATTAGCTATAGTGTATGTATCAAATACGAGCACAGTATACAGAATGGGTGTCAAGAAGAAACCAGATACAGTATGAGTACAGTGTGCCAATGCAATGAATTAGTGTAGTTTGGGAAAGACTACAGTGGAAGTGTAAATGTATCAGTGAGAATATGATAGTGTGGTACACAGCAGATTTAGTAGTAAAATGCATGCTAAATGGAGGAAATCCCAAATACCGTGGAGACCAAGTAGCGTCTCTCTCTTCTACACCATGCCGATCAAAGAAGCAACTAGCTCGAAGAGGCTCTCTGTATACTCCGTAGATGCCTGCAAGTGCGTTTAGATGATCAAATTCTAGAATAATCAATATCTGAAATGGAAAATGTGGGGTGCAAAATGTAAAGTGTAGTCCATATCTGAGGTGCACATCGAGCTCTGACATACTCGTGCCCTGCCTTTGCCGGCTTGATTAGAATCTAGTAGGCTGTCCCAGTCGGCGGTCAACACATAAGCATAGTGGGAATCTCCGGCCAACCGATCATCTGCCCAACTGAAGTGGTCTTTCTAGCATTGGCCCTAGTCGTCCAAGTCGCCTCACCAGCCACAGGAGCTCCTGCTACCTTGCCTGCGCAAACGCCCGTCAGAGGGGGCATGAGATGAGTCTAGATGAATGTCGCGTAGTTGCCCTTCACTCTGAAGAAGTCAGCGTCTAGGCCCACCATGAACTGGATGATCGCCCTAACAGGCAGGCTATTTGCTATCCTCATAAAAGCTGGGGATGGCATAGGAATGGCCGGATCAGGCAAGCCTACGATCGGTCGTACAAATCGCTCACTCAGAAACCAGGCTCGCAGACTGGGCCCTCCAACAAAATCCGGAAGTGAGACGTTTCCAGAGCCCCAGCGTACTGGTCTCTTACACCAGCCGACATCATCGTCCAGGGCTACCATGTGATCTGCAAACAAAGAATGTACAAAATTGTTAGTTGCTGAAGTATGAATCAGAACAGTAGTGAGGTAAAAATGACTGTGAGTTTTGAATTACCTCGTTAGCAGCCATTGTATCGAAGTATCGATGGAAGAAAGTGAAGGTCGTATTGTCATGGCTTTGACACTGGCACTAGCCGTTGTACCATCGTAAGTATGACACTACCAAGAGAACCTCATCTGCAAGCTCTAAAGCCAGAGCTGGAAAGTAGGCATAAACCCATAGCTGCAAGGAAAGGGCAACAGTGTTATCAATAATGTATGAACAAATATAAAGCAAAAAGTGCAAAATAGAAAGCGCAATGCATGAACAGATACATAAAGTGTAAAGCAGAAAGCACAATGCATGAACAGATTTGAGGCAGAAAGTGCAAAGTAAAAAGCACAATACATGAACAGATACAGAAAGTGCAAAGCAGAAAGCACAAGTTGTGAATAGATATGAAGCAGAAAGCGTAAGTGCAAAAGCAGAAAGGTGTGGTACATACCTCCTAGTCTCTCCAGTAGCCTCCAACTCGCTCTCCCCTCATCCGGGAAGTGGAGCTCATATAGCTGTAGAGGATGGCAAGGCCAGTTCTGCCCCAATCATAGAATCGCACCCGGGGCTGTGTCACTAAGGTATTCAGCACATATAAGCCTGCGATGTTCCACCTGTTCGAAAACAAGGTGGTACCGAGGAGAAACATCAAGAAGCCTCAACCATACTGCTCCGTCTCCTCTGGTGTCTCCGGCTCGCTCCCGTGAAACTACTTGGCGAACCAACTGTACCTTACTATGGCCAGCCGGTATAAAGGTGGTGCTCTCCGAGCAGGTGAAACCATGATGCCTCCTACTCGCCCATGTCCGTGTTGAAGGGGATCGGATCACCCCTTACTCTTAAGCCTGTGAGTATGGCGAAGTCGTAGGGAGTCATCGTCATCTCCTCGGCGGAAGAGAGGTGGAAAGAGTTGGTGCTGTCCCACTACCTCTCTACCAATGCCCTAAGAAGAGTCCGGCTCGTTATGTGCCATGAGAGCCTGGAGCAGAATAGGCAGGGGCTGGCCTCGTCAATAATGTCGCGGACCCTGGCAGGGAGCTCATAGTACCAGCCTCTCGTTGTTATCGCCCTGTACCCCCTGTAAGCACATGAGTCCCCCTGTGGCAGAAAAACAGTGATAACAGAGCATTCAGATAAAAGGCAATGCAAGAAAAAAGGTTAAATACAGAAATGCATGAAAATAGAGTTCATACCTTGGTAGCGCTGGAGGAAAGATGGGAGTCAGGCTTCCTTAGTAGAAGGTCCTCTGGCACGTCACAAGCAAAATCACTGAAACGCTTGATGCCTCTAGGTGGTAATATATATGTGCGAGGGTGATACGTCATCGGATCAAAGGGCCGCACCCTCAGTGGTAATGGCTCTGGCTCGATCTCTGGAGCAAACTCTATCTCAAGATCAGTTGCGATGTTCTTTACTGTCTCACCATTTCGGCAATCACTAGCTCCTCAAACTCAGCAGGGGGTGATAATAGAAGTGGAACCTCAAGAGGATCACCGTCATGGGGAATATCATTCGACATCTGGAAAGTGGGTGAAAAATGGGTAAAAAATGAAGAAAAATAGAGAAAAGATGAAAAACTTGAAAAAAGTCAACCCTAGGAGAGAGCAAATGGGAGAAAAAATCAAAACCCAGAAAAGTTCACAAAACTCAAGAGAAACTCGAGCAGAACAAGCCTAAAGAGGTAAAAACTCAAAAAAAGCGAAGAAATCAAAATCTGATCGGTTCAAAGTGTAGAGAATCAAGAAGGGTTTATGAAAAAAGTTTGCGTGGGGCATTAGAAAACGTGTATAAAGCGTAAATCTAGAGAGAGGAAGCACCTAGAGAGAGAGGGGTTGTTTTTGGATGTGTGAAAGTGAGGAAATGAAGTATAGAGTTGGATATTTAAAGACCCATGCTGAAAAGATGAATCTATCCCGATTTGTGCACGGGTGGCCGGCAGGCCACTATTGGTGGCCAGCAGGTGGCCGACAGTCTTCCTTATGGCCACCGGTGGTCTTCATTTGTGGCCTGGATCTGTTTTGTGCCTTTGTTCCCCGAGAAGTGTATGAGATGTTCACTATTGGGACCAGATTGATTATGGAAGAACTTGAAACTGCATTCCGGTGCGTGAATGTGCCCCACTTGCCAATATGAACAAGGTGTATCCTCGTTGAGCATGTTGCGAAGTCCTCGAAAGGTAAATCGTAGGTTGTCACCGAACATCATTTTTATTCATTTTGTCAAATTACATCTTTGTTCTCTTCTGTTACATAGAATGTGCATTTTCATATACTTATATTGCACGCGTGTCTTGC